CTTAATGACCCAGCAGAATGGCTTGTGAATGGGGGGTGTGATGGGATGGAATTATGAAGGGCACACTCAGGGGGGGAAAAATCCTCTTTCGTCTCCAGAAGGGCGAGGAAGAGATAAGAGGATGAGGCTGGCACCTCCCTGAGGAATTCACTGTGTTTTCACAGCTACTGTGGGAACGCAATTTTCAGTCTGGGAAGATTCTTGCTAGAGGTTGTAGCTAATAAACATTGCTGAACTGAATCTGCATGGTCTCCTGGAGTTCCTTGGGCTAGGCCTGACAGAATGTGACTCAAACCTGGATCTTATGAGTTCCATCAAGCCAAAATTAATTCCTTAAATTTTCCACTGGATTTTCATGCCAAACGTTTCCAGCTATTCTTTAAACACTGAATATTCCTTTAATGTTTGACTCATGGTTTTGAAATCCTAGACCCTATTTATCTGATGTTAAGGTATTCGAAAATGGCCAAATGTATTGCTTATTTGTTGTGGTTTCCGTTCTGTGAGATGTATGACAATCACCCTGTGAGACAGATCAGCTGAGAGAGACTGTCACCAAATCCCTGGTGAGCTTCCATGGCTGAGGATGGATTTGACCTTCAGCCTCCCCAGTTCTAGTCCAACACCCAATTTTTTTACATTAAAAAATAGTCCATTTTAGTAACTTTTATGCTTCAAATAAATTTTTCAAATTCAAAGGTTTAGAAAGGGAAAGACCAAGGACGAGATACTGTCCTTGATTTTCAAGAATGCCTCTGTGGCTCCCCTAAGCTTTGAAAATAACACTGCCAGCAGCTACAGTTCAGTGCTTTTCTGGGACAAAGGTCAGGAGGACCAAATGTAGGAATACAATAAACTCAGACTTTGCAACAGGTTTTCTTTCCATCTCACCTCTTTCCTGAGCAGGCAAGAACTCTAAATGTGCCCACCTGCCAGAGAAGGACAGATGGCTATGTTTTATGCCGTCTGGCAAACTGATTTGATTTTAGTTTGATTTGATTCCAGTTCATGTTGAATGTATGATCTCTCTTCTCTAAATTCCCAGGTCAATCTGATTTATTTTACTTACATTACCTATTAGATAATGAAGACAATTTTGTGTCTTTAAATGTCATCAAGTTTTGTTATACTGTGTGTAAACTCTCCCCTGCTATGAGTTATAATGGCTAATGGTGGTTATGCAATGCTTCATTTTGGCAGTCTCTTCTTTTTTGGTCTTATGATTGTAATAAAATCCATCCATCCATCCATCTCTTTGACCATCTTTGACCATCTCACCAAGCAACGTATTCAGGTCTAGTCCTGCCTAACTGAAGCATTTTATCAACCATCCCCAGGAGGGTGTAATGGTATGTGGGAATGACCTTGGGGACAGGGCAACAAGACACAACCTAGGAAGGGAATACTTCAAGCAGGAGGATGGCTAGCCCCATAGTGGCCAGCTCTCCGCAGCCTGATTTTCCATCTTGGATCTTCCTTTTTTTAGTACTGTTTTAAATTTTGGATGTATTATGTGTTTTAGATATATTTATAGTTTTAATGTTTTCTGTAAGTCGCTCAGAGTCTTCTATTGTGGGGGAGATGGGTGGGGGAGAAATCCAATAAATAATAATAATAAGAGTCAGATAAAAGGCAGCTGAGCCCACAGCAGGAATGTAGGCAGGGCAAGAGGCTCCAAAGAGACCCTCTCTAGTTTCTTGGGCTGTAAAGGCAACTGGAGGAGAACTGTACTTCCAGACTTGCAAGATTCTGTTAATGTAACCTTACAATAAAGAAGAATTAGCTCATCTGGTTGTGTTTCCCTCTGTCGTAAGGCTGACAGAAGGCTACCCTACTTCCCTGGATGGTTGGGACAGTCAATATCAGGCTCCCTTCAAGACCGTCCTTCTCAAGGTGGAACAAAGAAACTCCTTGATTTATATCAAAAACAAAAGAGACACAATAGACATACAACTTATGTTTGAAGAAGCATTCTGTAAGCACACTCTCCTTGGGGCCTATGTTGGAGTATTCCAAAGATTGTCTTTATTCATGGCATTCAAAGGCTGCTGTCCAATCCAACAAAGTAGTATGCAACTGAGGTTTAGAATATTTTATATATTTAGAAATAAAATGATGAAGAATAGCAAGGATGTACAAGTTCTGAAGCTTTCTTGCTCACCACTGATTAAAGATTGGCCCATTTGAGCCCAGAATTCTCAGATTTGGCTAAAGATCCAAAAGAGGCATATTGGATGACAGACATAGAATCACTGAATTGTGCGGTTGGAAGGGAACCCGTGGATCATCTAACCCTCTGCAATGCGCAGGAAAGCCAATTCAAACATTTGAGAGGCAGCTGTCCAGCCTCTTCTTAAAAAACTCCAGAGACAGAGAACCCACTACCCCCAAAGATAGACCATTTCACTGTTATACAGATCCTACCATCAGGAAGTTTTTCCTTAAGTATAAAGGAAATCTAAGTAGCTGCAACTTATATCCATGATTTCTGGCCCCAGTTCCTGTAGTTATGGAAAAGAGTTCCTGACCTTTTTCCTACAGCCCTCATTTACGTATGTGCTTGAGCACTGAAATCACATCTTCTCACGGTCTCCTTTTCTCCAGACTGAACATCCTCAGTTCCTTCAGCCTGCCCGCATAGGGTGTGTCCTCAGATCTCTATATCATCTGTCACTCTCTTTGAACCTCCTCTAACCTGGCAGTATCCTTCTGGAAATGTAATGGCCAGAATTGTATGCAGAACTTCAGGTGTAGCCTCGCCAGCACAAAATCGGGTTGCAAGAATTAGATTTTCCCTTTTCTTTCAGTATTGCAGCAGCCTACTTTGGATGTATCTGGCACATGGAAAACTGCACTTGTGGCTGCTTTCTCTTTGGGAGACATAGCTGGAGAACTGGCTGATCCCTAGCAAAGGCACTGAAGGCTTTAGTCTCTTTCAAGTCATGCTCATCTCTTCATGGACAACAGAATGGAAGTTGTTGGACTTTACCTCCTTCTACTTTTTTTTTTTTTTTGGCTTTTCAGTCTGCCCTATAGCCTCCTGAGATTCCTGAAGATTTCCCATCCCAACACTTATCAGACCCAACCTTGCTTAGCTTCCCCGCTGTACTTGACCTCCAATGTCCCCTGCCCTCCTAGTGACAGTATAAAATCTAGAAAACTCCCCATGTTTTCATCCTTCAAGAGCTATGCCATCCCATGGCCTGTTGGTTGGAACTCTGTTATCATGTATGAACCAGAAAAGATAAGAGCGGGAGAGTAATTTTTACTAAAATGTAACTGTTATTGATTATTGGAAAGGGAAGATATTCATCTGGAAAAAAAAAAAAGATCATCACTATCTAATTGGCTTTGTGGCCATGCACCTTTAGCTTTGAATAATTTTCCTTAGTATCAAAAGTTTCCTAAATGGGTATAGTTTAGGAAAAGTCAGAGGCTCATTAGACCAGTTCACGTAAAATAATTGATAAGTTGTTTCCCAATTCATTCCCAGCTGTTGTCTGACCTACTTGCAAAATAAAGGAAACAGAATGTACCCAAACAAAATGAATCACAGCAGTACCCTTATTCCAGCCTTCTATTTAGGTGGCTTTTTCATCCATTTTGTCCTTAGGACTTAATACCAAATCTGTTATCATCGTCTTGATCTAGACCTGGAATTGCCTATTGTGATATTCCTCTGGGCTACTATTTTCAGCAACAAGCTCAGGAGGCTTCGAGACCATTATATTATGCCAGATTTTTCTGGTTTCGTAGGGTATAAAGTCCCCAGGCACCTGACACATTGCATTATAGTCCCCAACCAGTGCACTCCCTTCCCTGTGATTCCAGGGGGAATTGAGATGAAGAGGGGAAGCCATGAAATGGTGGAGCTGCCAGGGACTGAACAAGGGGAAGACCAGGAGTGTTTGAATGGCCGCTTCACCATTAGCACCCTGATCAGCACCGAGGGCTGTGGCACCAGCCACTACAGCCAAACTGATGCAGCTCCCTATGACACAGCCCAAGCCAGCCACCGTACCCATAACAGCACCTTCTATATGCAGACCTTTGGATATAACACAATTGATGTTGTGCCCAATTATGAAAATTATGCCAACACCAAGATCTCTAGTGAAATCAAGAAGCCGAGACCAACGCTTGCTGATCTCCACTCCTTCCTTAAGGTATATTCCAACTAATTCTCCCTAACAGTCCAACAAATTCAGAGCCCTTCCCTTCCCTTCCCTTCCCTTCCCTTCCCTTCCCTTCCCTTCCCTTCCCTTCC